AGGTGGGGCGAGTCCATTCCATTTGAGGGGTGGCAGGTAGGGCGAGTCCATTCCATTTGAGGGGTGACAGGTAGGGCAAGTCCATTCCATTTGAGGGGTGTCAGGTGGGGTGATTCCATTCCGTTTGAGGGGTGATATGCATGTTGTTACAAAAAAATTAGAATTTCCAATATTAGAAATTAGAAAAATAGATTTTCAAAATTTTATCAAAAATTTATACTTTTTATTGAAATTCAGACATACTTTAGGCGGGTTACACTTTTAACGCCCAATTTTATATATACAAAATACTGGGCATATTAACAACGCTTTTAAATCATTTCAACTTTAAATATCCCCAGATTTCATAGAAAACTGTCAATCCCAAAAACAATTAGACCATTTTTACAGATTGAATTTGAAAGTTTTCAAACAGGTATCACACCTATGTAATCTTTCCCCTTTCCCATTTTTTTCTGTACTGTTTATTTTATATGAATATGAAAAAATAACGAGGAATTAAAGACATGTTTATTCGGATTTATCATAAGATATACATGAAATTGAGTATGATATATGTCAACCAAAGACCTTGTTGCTTGCAGGCCCATGTTGCGCAGTTTCTCCGCGGTTTTTCTGAAATGACAAAATAACACATACAAAATTTGATTTAACTGACAGGCTAAGATCATTTTGACTTATTCTACAGAAGCACATAACATCTCATTTAAACATTTGGTTTTAAGAATATATTAAATAAATTACACATAATTTGGATGAAAGTACAATCAAGTTTTAATATAGTTGGTCGTGTAATAAAGGGACAGAATACGGCAAACTGGAGACGACAGACAATTTGCGTAAACATTTAGTCGGTAAATCTTCGTGTAATGAGCAATTGACATGTGCTTGTGCCCGTGTGTTTACATGTGTACTGCAGTAAATTAAAAATTACGTACCTTACAAAAAGAGCTTTGACAGCATGTTAAACTTAAGCAAAAATAGATTGTCCAGGTGTGCTCTGAAACAAGTAAATAAATAAATAAAAACTACTACAATGAGAACTATAAAAGCTGTTTGTATCCTAATGCTTGTATAATAATAATAATTATGGTAATAATTTATTGCTAAAATAGCTCTAATGAAGGTCTTAGTGCTGTTTACAAATATATATATATAAAACCCAAGAATGTTATTTTAATTTTGCTGAAAAGCATCATAATTGTTATTGTCGTCAAAGAGATTTATCCGTATCCAAAGCTCAGAACTGTGACAAGTATTACTATCTAATTTAATCAGTGTTCTTTGCTATCTGACATGAAAACATGTTAATTTTAGTCACAAATGCGCCTTTAAATGTCCGGGCCATACAAAATTTTTCACACATTACGCAGAACTAAATAGCTAGTTTTAAAAATTTCAAGCATACTTCGTTTTTCATCAATGGCCAGCTGATAGCACTATTTTACAGTTCCAAACCTTGTAACCAATACATTCTAATATTCTGAGGGACATAAAAGTACCGATCGGCATAATATCACAACGAAACGCGTCACAAATATCTACCATAAATTTTCTTTCATTCGTCTGCGCTTTTAGTATCGTATTGAGGGAGGTTATTGAAGAAGTATTGCTACTTACACACGATGTATATTTGCCTCTACGCCTTATAAAAGCTGGAACTTGCGAATGCACCACACACAATGTTGCGTCTTCACTCAACTGTGCCCAACTGCGGTGTGAGTATTGAGGAAGACAGCTCGAACTACGACGAGCAACGTATTGTTATGCAAATAACAGGTTTGGCCCATTTTAGGTGAGAGATTTTGGCTAAAACTGCTCACAGATGTTCACTGTCAAAATGTTACAAGTACATTATCGATACAGCTGAAGTCCACTCGTTCTTAAAATATACTGCTTAATTACAGGTAAAATACAAGAACTACTTTTTAGAAAACATAATCGAATGATGCGTTTTTATGACTCTTCATATATCTTAATTATGACCCAAGATCCACAGTAATTTATAGGGGAGACCTGTAACATGAAAATCTGACTCCCCCATGAAAATTTGACTCCCCTCCACAAAACCTCATAAATTTTATTTTATTTGAGTATATGACTGTGATCTTGTAGTATGTAAAATGGAGGATACATTGGCATTTTTTTAGTTTGCAGGTGAAAATTTTCATGAAAAAATAAGAACATTAAAAATGTGCACTTAACCGCCCATTGTCTCCCTTATGAAAAAGCTATTTATTTGATACTGGATGATCATTTCTACATCTTTCCTTTAAATTTACTTTATGAAGATTATATTGGAAATATTTGAAAGTTTGATGGTAATCTATTGGGTGAAAAAACTAAAAAAAAAAACATGAAAAAGAAAAGAAAATTAATGTTTAATTAAAAATATAAATAAAAATATTTAATATTTGTTGATCATTTCAACACCTTTCCTTTACTTTTACTTTATGAAGATTATATTGGAAATCTTTGAAAGACTAGGGGAGTCAAAATCCTACGGGTAAAGGAATGCAATTTTATTATCCATTTAAAATCATCAATCCCCATTTTTCATTCAGCTTTGGGAAAAACAACAGCAAATATAAAATGGGGCCTTTCCCTAATGGGAGTCCATAGGAGTCCAAATCCCATGCATATTAAAATGAAGATTTCCATAAATTTTTTTCATTTATTTTTACCCAGTATTTTACCATTCAAACTTTCAAATATTTCCAATATATTCTTCATAAAGTATCCTAAAAGAAAAGATGTCAGAATGATCATCAAATATCAAGTAAATAACTTTTCCATAGGGGAGTCATTGGGTGTTAGAATACAAATCCTTAATTTTTCTTATTTTTCAAGTGTTTTTTTTTTCGCCCAATTTTTTACCATCAAACTTTCAAGTACTTTCAATATATTCTTCATAAAGTATAATCAAAGAAAAGACGTCAGAATGATAATCAAATATCAAATAAATAGCTTTTTCTATATAGGGGAGTCATTGGGTGTTAGAATAAAATCTTTAATTTTTCTCATTTTTCATGGTTTTTTTTTTCACCCAATTTTTACCATCAAACTTTCAAGTACTTGCAATATAAATTTCATAAAGTATCCTAAAAGGAAATATGTTGAAATGGTAATCAAATGTCAAATAAATAGCTTTTTCATAGGGGAGTCCTTGGGTGGTAAAATACAAATCTTTAANTTTTTTTCACCCAATTTTTACCATCAAACTTTCAAGTACTTGCAATATAAATTTCATAAAGTATCCTAAAAGGAAATATGTTGAAATGGTAATCAAATGTCAAATAAATAGCTTTTTCATAGGGGAGTCCTTGGGTGGTAAAATACAAATCTTTAATTTTTTATTTTTTCATGAAAATTTTCACCTGCAAACTTACAAAAAGTGCCAATGTGTCCTCCATTATGCATACTACAAGATCATAGTCATTTACTCAAATTAAATGAGATTTATGAATGTTTTTTTTTTTTTTGGGGGGGGGGGAGTCAAAATTTCAAAGGGGGAGTCACATTTTCATAATGGAAATCTGACTGGGGAGTCACATTTTAGGAGGGTCAGATTTTCATGGTACACCGGGGCTAGTTGGACCCCGGGGTATTTTTTATTTTTCGTTTTCATTAATTAAAAACCTGCTTTGTACCATTATTAATTTATTCTTAATTAAAACAAAACAACTTTTATTAATAGATATTTTGGTTCTTGCAACACATACAGCCTGACGTACGGAAACCTCAATAAATTTGCCTCATTTGAACTATTTATTCATCTAAGACTCTCGAAAATCGATTTAATAAATTAAAAATGTGTAAAGATGTATTTCAATGCGTTTACATGAGGTACGTACTTCATTTTCGTATAGGGTGCCAACTTGCCCCGACCCAGGGGCCAAAGTTGGCCCCCCTGACGTCAATTCCTTTTTTTGTCAAATTGTGAGACATCTGGCATTATATTTGAAAAATAATGACTTTGCATACCTACAATGTAGCTTAGTTCAAGGGGCTTACTTTGAAACCGGTTTTGTTACTGTAACTCATTCCTAGTTGGCTCTACAAGGCCAAAAGTACACATGTATCTGGCTGGGCCAACTAGCCCCGGTCTCCCCTATAATGAACCCATTGGTAGAAATAGTTTAATATGGACACGACAAATGGGTCCTTTCTATATAACTCGCTACTAACATCGCAATCCCGAACAAAGTTGTATTCGTCACACTTGAAGAAAAAAGGTTTTACTTTGACAACATTCTTTCTAACCACTATGTAAGCCTTAAAAAACAGACTCGATGAGAGAAAACATTTCAATTAGTACATGTCAGGGGCGGATTTAGGCTGTCTTCTGGGTCTTCCGGAAGACGGTCAGATTTTCAAGTTTACATTGTCGGGCATCTAATATTTTCTATCGGAAGACGGTCAAAAATGGAGGATGGATCAACAAAGATAATTTGGAAGACTGTCAGAAAATATCTCTGGATCCGCCCCTGCATGTATATGGGATTTCGATTTTTTATGATTTCCCAAAGAGGCAACACCGTTGACATGGCTATTTTAACGCCATTTTAACACCTCTGGGGTCTCCCTTTGTTGTTTGAAGTATATATTTTAACTTTATTAAACTTTTCAAAAACTATTCTGATGCCCAGTAACCAGTAAACTATTCTGGCAGCCAGAAACTAGTGTCGTTTTTCAAAAACGATTCCGGGAAGTCAGAATCGTTTTTGCGGAGGGAACAGGAGTGGACAGAGCGTCTTCCGCGACCAATTAGGTCCACCTTCACCGCAGAAGATGCTACTATATCTCTGTCGACCGCCGACCGTTGTCTACTATAAGATATCCTATGTAAATAATACAAAGGAGTTATAACAGACAGGGGCGTAACCAGACCTTTAAAAATTGTACGCACAGATTTTTTAAATTCCCAGCAAAATGTAGACTAACGCAAGAGATGAAGGACAGCGTAATTACAGCATATGTAGCCTACCACACATCGCAGCTTAATTTCCATTAATAATAAAATCATCATTTAGTCAGAAATATTCTCGCAATTAAAAAAGTTTCAATATTCTTATTACCCAGAACGGTATATTTATTTAAAAGGAGGCTAGCTTCGCATATGTGGAACCCCCTTCGAAAAATCCTGGATCCACCTCTGAGTTGAACTAACACACGGTTTCATTCACCTTACATGTGGATGCATGGCTCCCAAGAACAACCAATTGTACGACACGACAGAGCTCTGATACATCTAAGTTTAATTATTTGTTTGTAAAAATTGCCCATCTCACCCTGTTAGTTTGGAGGGGTAAGCTGGGTCAAGTCCGTGTCAAAATTCTTTGAAGCTTTGCAGGAAAAATTATTCTTTTGTTTCTCTAGCTCCTTCTTAAACCTGGTGTCCAGATTTTATCTAGTGCCCCCAGGGTTGCGGGAGCTGCTCTTTGAAAATAACACCCAGGCAGATTTTTACCTGAGATAAATATTGCCAGCGAGAATGCGTTCGATATTCTCAAGAAAGAGGGTATAGAAGAGTTGAGGGCCACTGAACCCTCCAATATTAAGAGGTAAAGGAAGTTCCAGTTAGAGGGACGATTAAGATAGGACTTGTTAAGATTACAGGCATTGTTTACCTCAGTTTGCAAGACGGGGGGAGGGGGGGTGTCAGAACAATTGTGCCTATACAGTTGATACAGAGGATATGTGCATACAGGTGACTTTAATAAGCAGAAGATTTTCTTTTATATTCCGTGAAAAATACACTAAATTTATATAAAATAATATCATGGTTGGCCAAAAAATTGTACGCACAGTGCATCCGTGCGTATGCACTGCTTCGCATCCGGGCACCCCCCCCCCCTTTCAAATAATCCTGGATCTACCCCTGGATGGTATGAAACCTTAACAATTTCACTTATAAGTGTCCATGTTTGTTTCAAGAAGTAGAAAGAAAGAAAGAAATATCAATAACCTTACGGTTGTACCGTAAAATTGAATGAAAAT